AGGTCTTGCAGAATTCCTAGAACCAGGTTAGCCTGAACCCCATGGCTTCTGTTGCTTCACGACCTTCCGGTTTGTAGGAGGAGCTTCAGGGGATGCTTGAGAGACTGGGGAAAGCCCAGGCATCATTCCAAAACTGACTCAGCCTCTGGAGAGAGAAAGGAGGATCGGCCTCCTCTCACACCAACGCCTTTTTCTCCTGTTGGACTTCCTTGTGGGTGGAAGCTGGGGGAGGGGTGGGGAAACTGTTACTTCACTTTCTTGGAGAACCACAGACCAGAATCTGGGGGATATTCCTGGGTAGGGTATGAATACTTTTGGCCAAGAGTGGCATCAGTCCCCTAAAAGCATCCTGATACTGAGACCAAACCTTTTAAGAATGAAATGAGTGAAGGGCCTCATTTGCTCAAATAAACAATAAACCACCCTAAACTCCCTCAAAGAATTGTGTGTTCCTCTCATGAAAACTGGTTTCTTAAGAAATAAGACTGTTTTGGAAAATGTTGTGACAATTTGTCTAACTTTGAAGTATGACATGTTTATTTGCATTTAATTATCACTTTTTACAACTGACCCTGGTTAAGCATGCTCTTCTGCATTTTAGGGCTGCATTTGGAGGCCATGAAAGAGAGAAGAGAGCCTCTTATAAAGGTAAAATGGTGTGCTTACGATTTCTATGCTCCTCCACAGAATTAGCCATCTCTCCCCAAAGTGTTTCTCTAGTCTAGTGCTTACAGGGCCTCAAATGAGGGGGTTTATGGGCTGAATAAGAGAATGTTGGGATGGGGCAGTGGGAAAGAAGAGAATCCCTGACTTCTTAGAAGTTTTCCATGGAAGAATTAGAAACACAGTTCTACTTCAGGTTTTTCAAGTAGCTTTGAATGTAATTCATCATCTTCTTTACTGTTTCCATTTCTTCCTCATTAGATAACCAGCTGTGTCTTCCTGATTCACAAGAAGCTGGTCTATGAAGCATCACCTGGTTGGGGTGGGGGTGGGGTGAGTCATCTAAATTGTATTGACATGATGTGAGAAATCAACTTGTTTTGTGATAGGGACTTTCAATCTAGGAAAATGCAGGGACCAAACCAACCTTTTCAAAAATTCCAAGGTCAAAGCCCTTCCTCCAGCCTACATCTCCCAGTCTAAGCTGTCATGAGGCATTGCCTCATGGCCACAATAACCGGAAAGACTGAGAGTGGGAGATTGGGAAGGTATGCATCAGGTTTTCTAAATTAGAGTCCTTAAGTGTCTCAGAAGACCTTACTGAAAGCTTATAATGTCAGGCTTCAGACGGGCTCTCCCTCCCGGAAGCACACCCACGCCTTTCTCTTCTCTCTACCTTTACCCCCAGGCACGTTACTATTATCTTCCTCACTGCAAGCTCCAAGGGCCCTTCCTTTACTTCTAACTTGTTTCCTAAGGCCATTTCTTCTACAAATTACTTCTTCCTCTGTGATTTTATCTAAATGAACTAGAGGACTGGTGCACATGCACCCTGGGGTCTCTCGGCCTGGCCTGTGGGGATCAGGCTGAAATCAGTTCTCCGACATCCCCCGAGGGATCCTGGATTGTGAGAGGGCAGTTCTTGGGTGACGCACCCCAGAATCGGGCTCCCTCCTCTCTGGTTTTTGGGGTGTGTCACCCAAAAACCGCAGCTGCCAAGTCACTGCACCTCGGCAGCTCCTGTGTTGAGCATCTGCCCCTGGTGGTCATTGCACATTGCACATCATAGCTACCGGTTGGATAGTCTGATGGTTATATATATATATATTCTCTTATACTTTGGAAAAACACACACATGAATTGTTATAGAACATTCTGATGACCGTCACTGCGATATTCGCTGTCCTGCGTGACCAGCTCAGTCTGCATGAGAACTCCCATGGTTCCCACCTTCATCTTCCCACTCAGCTCCTTAGTCTAGGTGGGGAGGAGACATTCCTCACTCCTGACAATTTTCCTTCCTAGATGCACCTCGCAATTAGGTTCACCTATAGACACCTTTCCCCTGAGTCAATGAACATAAGGAACTATTGGATAAGTAACAATGACGTTTTTAAATTGCTTTCACTGTGCCTAAAATATGGCTTAAATTAAATGTTATACACATGCATGCACATACATACATCCATTCCAAAAATATTTATTGAACCAGACACCGGAACCACCACAAAAATGATTCATGCCCTTGAAAATTCTGTTATAAGGAAGGTTCACGAAGGGATCAAATTCATGAAGTCACATCATTATCCTTAAAATTCTATAACATACTACATTGTACATGAAAAGTGCTGAAAGAGATGTAGACGGGGAAGAAATGAGAATGGTGGGCCACGTAGAGATGAATTTTTAGCTGAATCTTACAAAATGTCAGGCACAGAAAGAAAAAGAGCACATTCCAAACATAAGCCATGCCATGTACAAAATCAGTCAAGAAAGAATATACTGTATTCGAGGAACAACAGCAAAAGCTTCATGGCTGATGAATAGCGTGTGGGAAAGGAGAGAGCCAGGAAACAGGCAAGGCCAGACTGAAGTGATTTGAGTGCCATACTCTAAAGTTCGACTGTATCCTGTGGACACCAGGGACCAATAAAAGTTATTAAGCTCAAGAAATAAATGGTTAGATTTATGTTTTAGAAAGGTAACTCTGCAGCCAGCAGCGAGGATGGATTTCAGAGTAAGATCACAGAATTATTTCTCTCAGCAAAATTCTATGAGAATTTTTGGGGACAAGGGATGTTAAATAAATATTTCTGGTGTTCACCCTTTAACTACTGAATCAAAATCTCTGTGCTGCAGGCCTGGGAGCCTGCATATATAATATCTCTAATATCACGGGCCCTACAAGTCTGAGCCATAGAGTCAGAGAGGCCACTTAGAAAGGTTTCACAATTGTCCAATTCAAAGATGAAATTAGGGAGATCTGTACAGGCTGCCCTTCCAGGCTAGCTAATAATTTTTTTAAGGCAATTATATAATTAAGTGCTAAACGTTTGTTGCAGAGTGCTATGTTATCTTGGCCAAGTCATTTGCTACCTTGACACCAGGCATTTATATGACAAAGCACTGATATGCAAATCGTGTTGGAGTGTCACAAATTCCCAAGAGATAAAGTATTTATCACTTTCAATTAAGGGGTTGCAGGAAGATTAGATTAAGCCATTCTTATTTGTTTACTTGCTTATATACTATCTCCTCTCACTCTCCTGTAATTCCCAGGTGAGTAGAAACCTTGTTGACACTGACAGGTCTCTGGTGCAAAGGTGCCAACCCAAAGAAAAGGTAAAAACATTCTGAAAAAAGACACAAAGAAGGCGTAGGAAACGCTGCAATGTCTGGTGAAAGCAAGCACATTGGACAGGGAATTAGGAGATCCGGTCTTTGTCTTTTTCCATGTAGTACTTACTATTCATTCAACACCATCACGGTGCTGGATGCTGAAGATTTTACCCCGAAGGCATTGCCAATGTCCATTCCAGGGTTTGATCCCGCTACTCAGGATTGAGGAGCCCTGACGAGTTTACACTGTGGATGAAAACAGGGGTGCTGTGATAGGTCATAAGTTCCTAACTGGGTCTTGGTGGGTGGTCAAGACCCAGGCATATAACTTTTTAGTAAAAGGTTTATCTTGGTTTACCTCTGCCCATTGTTTCTGTGGATTTAGGTCAACAAACCTTTGAAATGCTTATTCTCAGACCCCTCCTTGAAGATACAACTTTCCTGGAGAGAGCATATAATCTTAACTATCTCCTAATCCACCACCCACCTTGCTTTCTCCCACCTCCATGTAACCTCCCTTATGTCACCACAACTTCAAATGCACAAAAGAAACTGTAAAACTGTTACTCTCTGCAGCAGTTTAGATCTGGCTTCCTGGCCATTGTCGTCAGTTAAGGCTCAAATTTTCATTCACATGAAAATTCCCTACAGGTTTGTACATTTCTTACGTGGACATCATTAAGCTTAAACTTCAAGCCTGAATTCCTTGGTAAAATGAGGGACTGGCCAAAAATGTGATGATTCCAGATTTCACTTTTGTCATTCATCTTCTTTACCTTCTGGCTTCAGTTCCCCCTTTTACCGTGAACAAAGGAACGTGCTCGCCGCCAAATCCTTGCCCTCGGAGCAGAAATGTAACCGCTC